AGAACGGGGGCAGATTCAGCCGCGCTCTCCGGCGGGCCGTGGGGACGGGCTGGGGCTTGTCTGAGACGAGCTGAGACAGCAGCTGCGCTGGCTGTTCAAGGAGCTCAGCAGCGGCCAGCCTGCGGAGCCCAGAAACACAGGCCCAGAAATATAGAGGAGATGCAGCAGAAACTTCAGGGCAGTCCAATATGAGCAAGGGCCCTTTTCCCCAGGCCTTTAGATGTTGATGATGTGCTTCTGCAGTTTTGGAGCTGGAGCAGTTTCTTCAATAAACCCACTCCAAATGAAAGGCCACATTCGGCTTGCTTTTAGCTCGCAGCCTGAAGGAGGGGGGGGACTTTGTATTTTTGCGATGGTGCACTGCGAAAAACACCCAGGGCATCCAAATTTGGAGTCACCAACGTGGACGGGCAGGTTCCTTCTTTAAATAAAGGCGTTTATGCAAAAGCCCTTCTTTTAAACACATTCCAGTTTTGGAATTTGTTTTATCTTTTCAGCATGCAGGGAATGGCAGGGCCGCGCAGCCATTCTTGTCTTTTGTGAAACTTTTTTAAGCGATGAGGCAAAAGCACCTGAATTTTCTCTCTTCTATTAATAGACATTGCTACAGTAGATACAGGATGTAGGTGGCTTAATGGCTGTTCATTAGGGCTTTAAAGGCAGGTAGGCAGGCTAGAAGTACCTAAAACGAAAGGCCTTCAGAATGCACTGCATTCCTTTTGTTTGTTATAATACCAGAGTTTAGACCACCCACGTTCCCTGGCTTTTGACATCTTCGGCTGAGCAAAAGTGGTTTTCTTCTTTACCACAGGAGCTTGGAGAACTTGTGCGTTGCCTGTTTGATAACGTGGGAGAAATGTAGTCTGCAGTCTCTTTTGCAGTTTCACAGCTAAACGTTAGAAAGTCAATAAGGGGAACGCCAGCGCATCTGGGAAAAACAGACCAAACTACAGGGCTTGGTGAATGGGTGCTGCATGTCATCGTCCAGAACAGGCAGAGGAAGAAATTAAAGCTAAACACAGATAAAAGTTTTCTCGATGCTGAGTAGACAGGCACCAAGGTGCTGAAAGCATTCAAGGTCTGCACTTGGAGTCAGGTTGGGCCCTGTCACCCAGAGGTCTCTGGGTTGAATCTCTCTCATTGGGTAGCTGTGACTGGAATTCCCCCCTTCCTCCCCGGGGCTTGGCTGAAGGCCCTGGAGCTGGGTGAGGAGCTCCAAGTGGAGAAGGAAGTGCAAAACATTGAAGTTCTCTACTTCAAGTAGCAGGTCGACATGGAAAGCATCACAGTGTCTCCCATAATGCATCAGGATTCTGTAAACATTTGGTGGTAGCGGTGGGATCTCTACCAATCCTTCATCCCTTGCCTCCACGCTGCCGCCTGGGGGAAAACGTATGCACGTGTTTTGCACGGACGGTGCCTGTCACCCGCACTGGTGTGAAAGACGGGGCAGAAAGCCACGTTCGTCAACAGTGATTTCAACTGGGGTCGGGTCGGGTGGGGTATGCTGGAAAGGAAAATTTTTGGTGATTCCTTTGGCTCAGGATCAGTTCAAGAAAATCAGATAACCCTCGAAATTCAGAATGTTTTGACAACAGCATAGTGAGAAGACCTTCTTAGGAAGGTTTCCAGACAGCGTGAATCCAGCATGACTCATTGGCCTTGACTTCCAGGGGATGGCTGAGCCGCGTATTCTGATATCGAGAGCTTCGGGCATGTTGGGAGTGTTTACCACAGAGCACTTTTGTCGGAAAAATCCTTCCCCTTAAAGTCTCGCTTTACAAACCACATTCTCTAAATGTCAGCTATCTGAAACCTCTTGCTTCTGCATTTTGGATTTAAACCGGCAGCTCGTGTTATTTCTGTAATTTTGGAGAATTGCAGAACCGGGAAGAACCCGGGTTGTAGGGGTTATACGAGTCGAGCACACTGTGCCAAACAAAGCAGGGACGGTAGGCTTGCCGGACTAGTTACTTTGCC